GACATCATCATCATGGTGTTCATCACCATCATGATCAGTTGTGATTGAGATTCTCACTGACAGAGATGTTTATGGGGAACCCTAGATTCATTCATTTATTCATTCAGACAGAGGGTGAGATGTGGGTGCAGATAGTGTTGGGTGCACACACAACACACACACACACACACACACACACACACACACACACACACACACACAACACAAACACACACACACACACACCACATACAAAACACACACAACAAACACACACACACACACCACATACAAAACACACACAAAACACACACACACACCACATACACACACACACACACACACACAACACACACACAACACACACCACATACAAAACACACACAACACACATACAACACACATACACAACACACACACACACACACACAGGCCCAAAGAGGAGAAAGGGGAAATGAGGAGCTATGATTTTCATACTTTCAGTAGCTCCGGGTCCAGTGGACCAGAAGACCCTGTATGTAATATAAGTGTGAAGGGGGTGGAAGCAAGGGGGGGGGTCAATTGATTTTTTTTTCTGATTCATGTTCCTCACTCAAAATGAGCCAAGGCCAAATAATCTCAGGCTGAAAAAATTATTCTTTGTATAATTCTTCTGAAGTTAAAAACTGAAAATGGGTTCCGCAGACCCGGAGACCTTACAAGGGTTAAAAAGCTGGTATGAGGTGCAGGAGTTTCATTAGCAGGATGCATGCTGATTGTGTTGATAGTGCTCTGAAGGGGGAGTGAGTTAGCACAGGCAGGAGGCCTGCAGAGACTATAGCCTCACTTTGCCCTGGTCTGTGCAGCTGTATTTACTTATTCCTCCTCCATCTTGTTTTGGATCCCTCTCCCTGCTCTGGGCTGGTCCTGGCTCTGGTTTGGGGGGTGGAGGTGTGGGCAGTGGGGGTGCGGTCGGCTCTCTCCCTGCCCCCTCTCCCTGGTTCTAGCTCTGGGATGGGGGGTGTTTGGCTCACCCTGCTCTGCAGTGGGTTGTCCTGGCTTTGGGAGAAGGGGTGGAGGTGTGATGGGCTGGCTCTGGACTCTGTGATGGGGGTGGAGATGCAGGTAGAGGGATGTTTGGATGGCTCCCTACCTCCCCCCCTCCCCCGTGGTGGGCTCTGTGACGGGGTGGAGTTTGAGGGGGCTGGTTCTGGCTCCAGCTCTGGTTTGGGTGCTCAGTTCATTCGATTCCCATGCAGAGACATGCCAAAGTAAATGTGCAGAGAGGAAGCACAGCTGAGTGCATGTGTGTGTACTTCAGTCCTTGTAGTACAAAAGTACACATTGCATACTACATATCTCTGATGCAGTACATGCAGTTCAAGTACACACTGCACAGCTCTGACGCATGCAGTACTCGTACCACCTACTGCTTTCACAACGTGTAACTTTTCCAAGTTTGTTGTTGTTATTACCTGGAGGTAAAATGTTGGGACTGACCCACTCTACATGATCCTGGGGTTTTTATTTCACTATTTTGTCTAAATTAAGATATGAACGCCTTGCCTCACTCACACTGCCCCTGGTGCAACTGCAGCTGAGTGTGGGGGCAGTCTTATTGTGACAGTCACACGAGGAGCGGCGCTCTGCTGTGCAGTTTAAGGGTGCACACACACCGCATGTTCTGATATTAGATAATATGAATAACTATTCATTTATGAAGGGAAAAGGCTGCAGTGATGTCACGCTCCCTTACTCCACTTCAGATATGCTGTCTAGTGGCACTTTAAACAGAAGCCCACCTTCGCTCCTCTTCACTCCTCTTTGCTCCTTTTCGCTCCTTTTCGCTCCTCTTTGCTCCTCTTCACTCCTCTTCGCTCCTCTTCACTCCTCTTCGCTCCTTTTCGCTCTTCTTCGCTCATCTTTGCTCTTCTTCACTCCTCTTCGCTCCTCTTCGCTCCTTTTCGCTCTTCTTTGCTCTTCTTTGCTCTTCTTCACTCCTCTTCGCTCCTCTTTGCTCCGCTTCGCTCTTTGCTCCTCTTCACTCCTCTTCGCTCCTTTCGCTCTTCTTCGCTCTTCTTCGCTTCTTCGCTTCACTTCGCTCCTCTTCGTTTCTCTAGTTAGGTTCAGTGAACACAGAAAAGTGCTGATCCAGGTCATATCAAAGAGAATGTGAGAGGAGACCAGAGGAGTGGAGTCAGCACAGGCTCATCCTCCAGTCGGTGCAGAACATCCACCACATCCACCACTGCAGCAGCTGCTCACACATGCTACCATCTCCTGGTTTAAAGCAAGACTGTGTCATTTTTCTGCTAGAGATATGATACAAAATGGACTCTTGTGAGCTTTAAGCCATGTCATAATGTTGTTACCTCCTCCAAACATACCCAGAGTTGTGTCTGGTTTCATTCACATATGTTTTAGTAACCATTTATTTATTTATTTATTTAAACAAAGTGTTTTCTGTTTTCTGAACTCAGCCTAAAACCCAGACACAAACCCAGGTTTGTGTGTTTAACATGAGTGAATGACATAAAACTCCAGGTTTGGGATGAGGAAACCATTTTATAACAGATTGGAAAAGACAACAATATGGACTCTTTAAAGTTTAAAGACATTAATAGTATTTTTGTGATCTATTAAATACAGTTAACTAATAACTTTATTTCTAATTGCCCTGTCCCTATCCTTAAACAATACATGGACAAAAATCTGCACTTGCAGCTAAACCACTCACACAAAGTGGGGGCTGTTTGGCGTAACTGTCTTTGGGGGAAATGTGCCTTTGATGCATCAGCAGAAAGTCAAAGAAAAGCTGGATGTGGTTTTGTTATCATTTTAAGTCTACATTGGCTTTGCTTTGTCTAAAACTCTGTTAGGGTTAGTAGCTCATGTGAATAAAAACACTGTTTACAAGTGGGTTGCAACAGAACGTTAAGTCCCACGCAACTTAGGGAGTCCCTTTTATTGAGAGAGTCGTGTGTTTAAGTAATCCTGTTGTGTTTTGTTCAAGGTTTTAGTGTTGATAAAAAAGACTGTTTTCACCTACCCCCTATCTCAGCCCACTAGTTTTGCAAAATCTGAGTAAAAATGATATATGTAGGGTTAATAATGCTGCTTTCCACTAAAGGTTCTGTATATTTAATTCACCATTACTGTTTTCATTGTATTACTGTACAATGAACATTTTAATGAAATGATCTATCTTTCTTTCTATTTCTGATCTATTTTCACAATTGCAGAGGTGTCACAATAATGCTAACCACAGCTGGCATGTTAACAGCACATTTCCTGATTCTCATAAAATAAAAGAGTTTATAATCAGATACAGCAGCAGTCTCATTTTGACCTCAGTGGCTGTTTCCATAATATATCTGTTCTGGGGCAGGACACATTTTGCTCAAATACATGCTGAAAAAAAGTCAAACAGCAACTGATCAGAATTGTATGTTGTTTTTGGTCTTGTCTCGAGACAGGAAATGGAGAAGGAAGCAGGGACAGGAAATGGGGACAGGGTGAGACAGGGTGAGGCCGTCTGTCACCAAGAGACACAAGAACAGAGAGAGACATGCACACGCCCTTTATGTAGTTACTCACTACTATCTCTGCCCCTCTTTATATCCCCTCCTCTCCTCCTCCTTTCTCTCCTCCTCCTCTCTCCCCCTGCTCTGCTGTGGTTATTAGCACAGACCTTGACCTGTATTTCACTCTAAGATGAAGCTACACAAAATCTAAATTGTTACTGAAACAGTCAAAACATATATTCAGATGTTTACTTTTAGATATCTAGACCCCCTCCCTGTGTGTCAGATGCCCTCCCTGTGTCTCCGCTGGATGCTTGTGTTACTTTGACAGTATGGATTTCATGTTTAAGTTGTGTGTGTTTGTGAGCGTGGTGTGCGACAGACAGTCCCTTGCAGACGAGGAAGTGCAAAGCGTTAAAACCACAGGAACTGTTAGCACCCCGCCCAGAGTCTGCTACCCACACCCAACATCCTAGCACCCAACACCCAGCACCCACTGCAGTCAGTCTCCTATAGAGCACCCAGTGACTTTTACCCACACCCATCATCCAACACCCAGCTGCACCCACTGCAACCAGAGTCTCTTACAGAGCACCCAGTGACGTCTCGCCGTACCTCAGTAACCACAGCACCCATCATTTCCTACCCACACCCACTGCACCTCAAGCAACCAGTGTTCTACCCACACCTCTGCACCCATAATACCTATAGTCTGCTCCCTCCTCTGCTCCCTGCTCTGCTCCTCTGGCTCTGCTCCTCTGGCTCTGCTCCTCTGGCTCTGCTCCTCTGGCTCTACTCCTCTGGCTCTACTCCTCTGGCTCTACTCCTCTGACTTTACTCCTGTCTGCTAGAGACAGAACTCTGTAGACATCGTGACAGTGTTGTCCATTCCTGTCTGTATTATACCTTTGTTGATGAAGACCAAGATAACAAAGACTGAGTGGGTAACAGACATTTAATTTCTCCATTATATCATGCTTAAATGAACAGTTAAAGTGGTTTTATGGGTTGCTTGTGTCTTGATTCAGTTGGTATCACACATACTTCAAAGTATCAAATCAGATACTAAAACTAGTATCAAAATTAGATACTCATTTGAGAAGTTATCAGTACTAAAAATTCACATTTACAGGACAGAAATGAACTTCCCTGAATAGCTTCAGAATGATCTTGATAAATGATCAGTATAAATATATAAGTATAAGAGCACATAGATGAGTATACACCCATGAACCATTATAGAACCTACTGGAGCTCTGAGGATTATACACATGTAAGACACATGAGAATGGAAAAGACAGTACTGTCATTTAATGTTGGAAATCTCATTCTGTTGTCTTTTTATCATCATGGTATTGGAACTGATATTGAGTATCAAGTCTGTTCCTTAGTATCAAAACTGATTTTAAAGTTTTAATATCGTACATAGTATTGTGACAACCTTCCTTCAGACGCTTTACTAAGTATGTTTACAACTATGACTATAAATCCTAATCTGTTGTCGTCCCTGTGTTGCAGATGCCAGATGCCATCCCTCTGAAGAAGCCCAAACATGAAGACGCATGCCCCCCCTCCCCTGTGCCGGAGAAGCCCAAGCCCCAGGCCGTTCTGCAGGCCCTGTCCCAGAAGGTGAGAGGCTGGTCAGATGACATGTCCTGTAATGCTAGCCTGTGTTTGGGAGCGCGCCGGAGCTTAAATTTAGATTTGGCAGGGCATCCGAGCGCGGAAACCAGAGCCGCTGTGGGCCGGGGGATCACTTACCCCGAGTGCGGTAACTCCATCGGCCCGTGGAGGCCAGCACGTCGATCTGTCCAACCCTCAGGAGGAGACTGGAGCTGGAGCTGTTCATCACAGTTGAGATTTAGGCCTGGGAATGCTGCAAATATTTGGTTTTGTTCCATCTTTTTATTACGCACAGATCAAGAGTATAAATAAAGTTGTGAAAATAATTGCACTATGTTACTTTCCTGGTGAAGGGCCCAACACCTGCTTGTTTCCTTGGAGATGTTATTGCTTTGCCTGTAATGTTCCCCACAATATTAAACTTGTTTGCCTTGATTGTAATAAATTACCAATGTATTTATTGCCAAGTAACAAAAATCCAAACCCTCTAAATTCATGCATTCTTTCTGTGGACGGGGTCACCTCTCCAGAGATCTGACCTGTAAGAAGGTCCTGGTTGATTCTGGCGGTGCAGGGCCTTTCTGTGGGGAGTTTGCATGTTCTTCCTGTGCCCGCATAGGTTTCCTCCGGAAGCTCTGGTTTCTCCTACCACTAAAAACATGTACGATCCCTGTGGGGCCTGGACTCCCCTTAAAAGAGATTCTTAAACTCAGTGGGACAGTCTGGTTAAATAAAGATCAATAAAACAAAGTACAATATTTGTTTAATGCCATAGTGTGGAACATTTCAGGTAAAGAAATGTTGAGATTTTATTGATTTGTTTGGATATTAGACAGTATGAAACTACACTTATTTATGTCTAGATCTGAAACATGTTTAAGGTTGGGGTTTGCTTAGTTTTGGTTGGTCATATTTTCTGATAATAATACTGTAAAACTTAGACAAGACAATACTTGAAGAAGACAATGAAGAAGGCCAGTACTTTCCTGAACTATAAAACTGAACTGTAAAACCAAACATGAGTAAGAATTATTTTTATACCTGAAAATGACCCAGGCCGTATCTCGCCCTCCACATCCTGCCCTGCCTGACCTGCTCTGTGGAAGCATAAAAGGCCTGTGGGAACACGCCTCCCTCCTCCTGCTCCACTCCATCCTCCGGGCCTACCAGGCCGCCAAACCACAGCCACCACATTTTCTTTTTGTTTTTCGCACTTTTGTATCATTTTAAATAAATGCCCACACAAGGGTTAAAGCTGCCAGTGTTGTCGTCTCCCCCTTTCTTTGTTGTGGTCCTTCTAACCGGGGCCATAACACATGCAGGATAAAGAAACTTAATACTATAGCGTGGAACATTTCTCCTTTAATGCCATAATGTGGAAGAGTTCTCCTATTTGTCTCCATGGAAACCCAACCTGATCATACAAGTTACCCAGTGCACTTTTAACCTAACCTGACCATTTGTGGTAATAAAGAGCATGTGTAGTTTACCAGTGGTTTTGTCCTTGTGTCTTCTCAGGGAGTGAACTGCCTCCAGCCCCGACAGCGGCCGTCAGCGTTCAGACCCTGGTCTCCTCACGTCTCTGCTGGGGAGAAGGAGCCGGCCAGCCACCCTTTAGCCCTGCTGCGGGACAGGTGTGTATGTTTGGCTGGGACAGAGGGCTAGCCTGGGTGTGTTTTATAACATTTTAATATCTGCTTCCATATTGTCTGGTCGGTTCCCATTAAACAAATATGTAAATTCCTGTATTTACAAGTCAAAGTCTAACCTTGTGCTGTGGCTGGATTGTGGCGACTTTATAAACAAATGAAATCTCTTCACACAAACACAACAACGCAACACAAGGGAAGACCCTGTCCAGCTTTTTCAATTCTGATACAGATTTTTATACTATAGCTTTAAGAATCTGCCAATACCTGTTTTCAGCCACTACCAGTGAAGACACTGAAATGATCATTTTCAGGTCCTATATTACTCAAAATGTACTCTTGTGAGCATTAAACTATGTTAGAACGTTATTACCTCCTCAAAAACAGACGTGGACTTTGTTGTTTTGTTTCGTTCACACATTATTAGTCTGTCTACATCTCCAGAGCTCAAAATGCTCTGGTCCACCTTGTGATGCTATACTGATACTTCTCAAGTGAACAGCTTCCATTTACCTAAAGTATCAAAAATAATTCTAGAGAAGGCGTATAGTACAGTTTAAAAACACAGTGAAGCACTTCCTGTATTAACACATGACATGACACGGCGGAGTGTTTTCCATTTGAGAGAAGAACTCCAAGAACATTTTGATGCAGAAACAACATTATAAGATAGACCAGAAAAGAATGTAATATAGGCCCTTTAATTTCCTTAAAACAAAAGTAAAATAAGACAAGACAAAACTGATCCAACTGTTATGTAGCTGTAATTTATCACATTTAAAATGTGAACTTCCAGAATCCTATTTTTAAAACATAAATCACAAATCACAAATCTAATCACCATTGTAGTGCTTGTCAGAAAATTCACATTTAAAAATGTGTTTAGCTCTAGTTATTGGCTCCATCAGTGTTGGGACCTAATCCTTCACTAATGCCCTCTGTGATAATGGCATCTGTATTATCCATGCTAACACCCCCCTCTCCTCCTCCAGCTTCTACAACTACAAGAGCCTAGAGAGCGCTGTGGCCCCCAATGTGGCCCTCACCCCTCTGCACCTGGGGAAGATGGGTCCCATGTCGCCCTCAGTCCCCAGTACATCCCACCCCAGTGGAGGTGAGGCTCCCGGGGAGAGTGCCAACAGCAGCTGTCGGTCCCGGAAGAGGAGAGCCACGGGAGACAAGGGGCCCCCAGCCAGCGAGGGCCCCACACCCACTGTACCCACTGCACCCACTGCACCCACTGCACCCACTGCCCCCACTGCACTACCTGTCTGTAAAGCCCCTGCACTAGCACCTCCAGACGACAAAGACTCAGAGGTGGAGATTGAAGTTGAAAGTCGTGACGAGTGTAAGTTGTTTTTTTGTCAGACTTTTCATGTATAAACTTTTGAATAGGTTTTGCATGATTACAGAGAACTCAAATGTTTTTGTCTCTGCTGTGTCTCTGCTCTGTCCTGCAGTCACTTCGTCCCTGTCCTCTCTGTCTTCTCCGTCCTTCACCTCATCCAGCAGCTCAGCCAAGGACCTGAGCTCTCCGGGCTCCCAGGGGCCCGTCAGTTCAGCGTTCGCTTCAGAGAGCCAAGCAGCCCCTCCTTCTGCCACCCCAGCCGCACCCACATCCACTCCGGCTCCGGCCCCAGAGTGTGGCCTAGAGTCGGACTTGGAGAGCCTGAGGCAGGCCCTGGACTGTGGGCTGGACTCTAAAGAGGCCAAGGAGAAGTTCCTCCATGAGATTGTCAAGATGAGAGTGAAGCAGGAGGAGAAGCTGGGCTCCGCGCTGCAGGCAAAACGCAGCCTCCAGCAGGTAAACCACTCATATCTCACTTATCACACATCTCACGCATCACTCATATCATATATACCACTCATATCTCACTTATCACACATACAACTCATATCACATACAGTATATCACACGTATCACACATCACACGTATCACACATCACACGTATCACATATATCACACGTATCACACATATCACATGTCACTCATCACATATCACACATGTTACACATATAACTCATATCATATGTATGAGTTTAGTCAGACTGTAACTGTAAGAGTAACGTTACTTCAGAATAATATTACTGAAGCAGAAGTACTGGTAGTGGTATGGTAGAAGTAGAGGTCCAGGAAATTACTCTAGTAAGAATGAAAAAGTATTTGGGAAAGTACTACTGAAAAAACATAAACTTAACTTAAAGAGTAACGTAAAGAGAAACAAAATCAGGTATTTAATAAGGAGAGACACAAACATGAGACAAACTAAATTATATCTGAAGGAATGGTGCAAGAAACACTAAAATCATGTTCAGATCATTTCATATTGTCACCAAAAAGCTTTTGTCGCTTGTAGATTTCCTCACAGTGGGAAGATTAACCAAAAGATTTACACATGTAAGAGTACTGTTACTTCAATAAAAGTATTACTCACCTATAAAAGAATATGCTTTAAAACTACTCTGAAAAGTAACATTTCTTTATGTAAATGTAAGTGAGTAAAAGTAGGTACTACCCATCTCTGGGAGGAAACAGGACTTGCATAAGCCATGGTCACAAACAAGAGCAGAGGAAGGAAGTGTGTGCTTTCCCAGACCTGTCCTTGGCACCAACACATGTGTGCACTTTGACTCACTGTTTTGGTCTAAGACTCTGGCAGCAGGCAGCTTTACCCACACAGGGCAGACACAGCCTCACATCCAGTGTAGGCACTGTACAGGGCAGGGTTAGAGCATAGTTAGAGCAGGTTTAGAGCAGGATTAGAACAGGGTTAGAGCATGAGTAGCATGGTTAGAGCAGGTTTAAAACAGGGTTAGAGCAGAGGTAGAACACAGTTAGAGCAGGTTGAAAGCAGGTTTAGAGCACGGGTAGAGCAGGTTGAAAGCCGGGTTAAAGCATAGTTAGAGCAGGTTTAGAGTAGGTTTAGAGCAGGGTTAGAACATAGTTAGAGCAGGGTTAGAGCAGGGTTAGAACATAGTTAGAGCAGGGTTAGAGCAGGGTTAGAGCATAGTTAGAGCAGGTTGAAAGTGGGATTAGAGAAGGGTGTGAGTGGCTCCAGGCTAATCCAGGCACTAGTCCCATCAACGCTGTCCTTGTCATCTTGGAGTGGAGGGTGTGATGCATTGTTCAGGCTCATGCTTTGTCCCACCTCCACAAAACCTGCTGACAGACACGAGCGGCCGGCCCCAGTTCCCAGGACCAGCCCTCTGATAGGGGCCGGAGTTCAGAGGAAGAGCGGCCCCAGCCTGGCCCCTGCTCTCTGTGCTCTCCCTGCTCCCGAGAGACACTCACACCACTGCGGATCTGCTTGTTTACGTGTATCATTTCACATGTTGTTTGTTGTAGGTTGTAGAAGGGCAGCTGAAGAGACACTGCTTATTTACATAACCAAGCACTGAAAACTGAGCTTATAACCTCTGTCAGCTACATAATTCACAAATCGCCATCCTAAAATCATGTACTTTTTAACTGATTTGGGGCTTAGCAAATGCTTTGTCCTTATAATAAAAAATAAAGAACAAGAAAAAAAAAATATAAGAAGCAGAAAATACAAATGAGCTACTAAATTATATTTACTGTTCTGTAGTTGTTCTGTAGTTACTTGAGAGATAAATAACAGATACATCACACATTTGGCTCAGTTTTGTATGATTATATTTTAGTTTAAAGGCAGTAAATGCTCTACACTGGTATCTGTTTATATGGAAACATTTGCTCAAAGGTGTAATGTCTCCTGTGCAGGAGCTGGAGTTTTTGCGAGTGGCTAAGAAGGAGAAGCTGCGCGAGGCAACGGAGGCCAAGAGGAGCCTGAGGAAAGAGATGGAGCGTCTGAGAGCAGAGAGCGAGCGCAAGATGAAGGACGCCAACGAGGCCCGACTCCGCCTCAAGAGGGAGCTAGAGCAGGCCCGGCAGCTGCGCGTATGTGACAAGGGCTGTGAGGCTGGACGACTGCGTGCAAAGTACTCTGCTCAGGTACTACTTACCAGGGTGTCTAGAGTATCAAACATCTGATACAAATTGATACTCTATTGAGTATTGAAACTAAATTCTCATTTGAGCAGGTACTGAAACTAAAAAAAATCCTATTGACAAGATAGAATTCAGCATTTCCTGAATAGCTTTAGAATAAGCTTGATCTGTATCAGAAGTGTAGCACACAGGAGGTAACATTATAACATGGATCACAACAATCTAATTTGCTTAATGGGCCCTTTAAAGTAACACGCCAGATGTGTGGAGCTGAGTGTGTGGTCAAAGTCCTGTTTTGTTCCCTCAGATTGAAGACCTTCAGATGAAGCTCCAACACGCTGAGGCCGACCGTGAACAGCTTCGCTCAGACCTGCTTCAGGAGCGGGAGGCCCGGGAGCACCTGGAGAAAGTGGTCAAGGAGCTCCAGCAACAGCTCTGGCCCAAGTCCTCCAGTGCAACCAGCTGTAAGGAGGAGGCATCAGAGGACACACCGCTAGATGTGTAGAAAATCTCCAGAACTTCACTATAGCGCCACCTACACACTCCAACACGGCTCCTCCAGCAAGCACGGGCACCCAACCAAACTTTGTCCAAGAGGTGTTCCAACGCTCCACCCAATCCCCTTTTTTACTCATCCTGCACCAAGTTCTTCACTGTGACCATAGAGAAGATGGCGAAATGATAAGCTATTCAGATATCAACAGTGAAGGTGATTGGAGCAAAGCCTCAGGAGCTGGTTCGTGGACGATCAAAGTGAGCATAGTGAACAAATGTGGGCCCCTGGACATGTTTGGGCCCCTGGGGCAGTCTGGGCCCCTGAAGAGGACTGGTCTCATGGAGGTGGTCAATAGCACTTGAGAAGAACCGTGCCGAGCTGGACCAGGTCTAGTCCATTTAGCACTGAACCTTGCTTTGGCCCTCAGGGCTACTACCACATTTTGAGTTAAATTAATGTAAATATTTGTGTTGTTTTTTTTTTTTTTTTTACTCATAAAGTGAATGGCACTTTGACTCATTGGAAAGCAGACAGAGATGTCATATTCTCAGCGGTCATCCATAGACACCTGTAACCTTTGATTATCGCAGACTATTGTAAATACGAGGACAGTTGGGGCTCTCCTGTGGGGGCGTGAGGCGCTCGGTGGGGGTCCTGTTTGCACCACGCCATCAGCTCCTCCTCATCCAGGCACTTATGAGTCAAACATCAGTCTATGTACATGCAAATGATACTGTGCAGTGACGTCACGCTTGGGGGTTCTACATGTACTTCTATGGTGGAATGTTCATCAGTTACCATGATGCACAATTAGCAAACCATGCCAGCAAGGTGTTCAGGTTTCACAACAGGGAATGTCGGTGATATCAACTGCAAAGTATCAGTAGTTTACGATGGCTATGCAGAATCAACTGGAACTGTGTTTTGGGACACTTAAAGCCAGTGGTGGCAAGACAAATGTAACTGCCATTCTATTTACTACCACATTCATGTTTAGGTGAGTGAAATGTCTGCACAAAGTGCATATGACATGTTTTTCTAATTACTACTTGGTTAGGTGGCAATAGTACCTGTGGGAAATATTTATCATAATTTTACAAGTGGCAGTTTCTGGGAAAAAAGTTGAGAAGAAAAGTACAAAAATACAAAAGGTAGGGCTGAGTTCTAAAGCAGAATACCCCTGCCCATTCCATCAACACAGGAAATTCCATCCAAAATGCAGGGCAATTTACATACAAAGAATGCATTTTTCTTACCATTTAAACCTTAATTTAATAAAATGAGCAGGTTTGACAAAACAACAACATTTATTTGTCTTAGTCTCATCGTAACTATTGTGTAATTTAGAGAAGTGTTGGCCTTTCTTAACATTAATATTGCGCAAAACGTAATATCTTAAATATAATTATGTTAACTATATTCAGTGTTGGGAAGGTGACTTTTTAAAATGTAATCCCCTACAGATTACAGATTACATACCCCAAAATGTAGTTTGTAACGTAATCCATTAAATTACTTAAAATGAGTAATGTAATCGGAATACTTTGGATTACTTGATTTGCTGTAGAGAAGCAAAGACGAGGAAATCTTCAAATAAGATGTTTTGTCTGCTAAAAGAAAATGAAAAGGCAGAGTCTTTACTTAACCGTATTAAAAATCTTATTGATAGAAGAGGAGGAGACACGGTCTGAGCAGCATGGTCCTGTTAAATCCTGTTTTAGACCTGGTTTAGTCCTAGTTTAGACCTAGTTTAGACCTGGTTTAGTGTCTGGCAATGAGTGGACTTACCGAGGAAAAAAAAAAAAAGGGATATAGCCCAAATATGAAAACAGGAAAATTCCCCCATGTAATCCATTTATTTTAACAAAGTAACTGTAATCCAATTACCACTCATGGAAACAGTAACTGTAACCGAATACAGTTATTCATAATTTGTACTCTGATTATGTAACTCCAGTACAAGTAATCTGTTACTCCCCAACACTGACTATATTTGAGTAAAATGAGTACTTGTGACTGTCATGTGCACTTTACTAGCTGGTCAAAAGTAGAATTGAACTGCCAATTTGGCTAGATCCAGGTTAGCATAACATTTTGCTGCTTGTCTGACTTTTTGGATTGTACTTTGTTTTGGTGAAGCAAAAGGAGGAGTACCTGATGGAGGTGTTAACGGGACCCTGGTGGCTGTAGGGGGCGCTCTCCCTCGTTGGCGGGTACATGCAATTCGAATGTACATGACTGTCTTTCCTTTGGTGTTGTGTTAGCGTGGACATGTTTGATGTCTGTTCTTTTTCCAATAGCATTGTTTCTTTTGCATGAGTTTTGCCATACACGTATATATTCAGATATTGGGCATTGATACTTGTACTTGTAGAGGTTATATTAATATGCAATATGAATAAACAATCAGATCAAAAGTCAAACATCAAATGCTGGACAACCTCAAGTGCCTGTGGGCCGAAGGTGTCCAGGACAGATTTGAGAGTGCTTTATTTGAAATATGCATGCGTGACCTTTTCTAATCCCATCGCTCAAATTGGTACCAAACTTTTTATATTTGTTTTTACACTTTACAAAAAAATCTCTCACGTTTTCTACAAAAAAGGAGACAAAATGTTTTCTAAAAGGACAATTATGAAGCAATAACAGTCCATCTGAATACAGAAACTAGCCAGTGTGAAGAATTACATTTGTAAATATGTTTTTTCAACTGGATAATGTGTAAGATATGTACATGCTCTTTACTTTTTCAAACAAATTCTTACTTTACTATAGCTGTCTCTTTTTGATGATGTAACAGTTGATGCAGTGAGACATGCCACTGGACTTCACGGGGAGTCTGTGGAGGGATGTCTCTTCCCCTGTCCCCTATCCTGTCTCCACCTGTTATCACGTCCCGTCGTCTTAATGTCCACTTTTCCATATGTCCCTGTCCCTGTTGTCCCCTTACCCATGTCCCTCTGCCTCTTAGAGCCTATGTACTTGACTCTATATTCAGTTGTCCTCATGGCTCAATGTCCATTTTTTCCATATGTTGAAATTCACTATGTCCATTAGTCTTTTTCCCCATACATTCCTGTCCCTTACTGGGGGCTCTGTCTCTCTAAATTCAATTGTCCCTCTGTCCCCATGTCTACTGGTCCTTATGTCCTCATCATCTCAATGTTCCCTTTTTTCCTATGTTCAAATTCAGTATGTGCATTTGTCTTATTTCCCTATATGTTCCTGTCCCCTTTTCCATGTAAGGGATTTCCCATTGATCCATCGTTCAGTTGTCTCCATGTCTCAATGTCCACCTTTTCCTTTGGTCACTGATGATTCTTTCCCCCATATGTCCCTTATTAATGTCCCTCTGCCATGTCCCTGTATACACTTTAAACCAGGGGTCTCCAACCTTTTTTTCTCCAGTGAGCTAACTGTACAAATCAAAAATGCCAGAGAGCTGCCAGTTTCAGCTGTCGCAAAGAAACTGAGTAAATATAAGAGCCACGACAAGCCTTAGATGGGCAACAGTTAGATGCTTATAAAACATAAACCACTGTCCATTTATCGGTGCACAAATTTAGGCATGAAAATGATACATTTACAATAGTAATTGATCAAATTTTACTTATTATCCACAATATATAGAATTCAGAAATCCCTTGGCGAGCTACAGGTTGGAGACCCCTGCTTCAAACCAACTCCAATTGTCCCTCTGTTTTCCTGTCCACTTGTGCCTGTGTACACCAACCATATGTCCTATAGACCCTCTGTCCCCATGTCCCCAAATCCCCCTCTTGTCCCCCCTCCCCATGTCCTTCATTTGCTCCACCCCAGGTCCCTATAGGTCCCCACTACTCTAGTCCCTCTAGTCCCTCTTTTCTCATGTTCTCCTGTGACATTACCCTCTGTCCTCCTGTACCTATGTCCCAAAGGCCATTTGTTTGTATGTATGTCCATATTCCCTCTATATGACCTGGTCCCATGTCCTTTTGTCCCTCCCTCTATCCTCATCCTTAGAGTAAAAAGCTTGGGCAATCTAATGATATCAAACGGAATCTTTTTGTGAACCTGGGACAATCTATGGACACACCCACCTCCTCCACGCTCTGAGTGAGTGGCAGGTGCTTTCAGCCAATCAGAGTGAAGTGTGAACTCTCAGTGGAAACAGATTTACAAATCAAAACTGTAATAACATGTTTGACATATCGCCCATGCCTACTCCACAAACTATAGAAAGTCTATATCACAATTATTAACCATACAATATACCACAGCTTGGCTCTGCACCCCACCCCCTCTCCCGACCCCTCCCCAGCGACACAGGCCCCTCCCCCCAGCGACACAGCCTCCATTGTAAAGAACTTGAGATTATGTTCAAAAATAGCCGTGCTCATATTCAACAATGACTGAATGTACAGTGTATAGAAGCATATGCAGAAATAAATTGTTTTGTCCAGATTGTTGACCCATTTGTGCTGTTTTTTATCCCAACAACACAAATCATAATTACGAGGATTTGTTAAATGAGCTTGCGATGAAAGACAATCCACAAGCCAATCTGTATTATATATCACACGCACGTACACACGATATTACCAAGGTCCATGTTAACACAGTTTAGACCTGTTTTTTTTTTTTAAGAAAAGGAAAAAAAAGCATGTATTAATTATTAATGGTGCATTTATTGCAATAAAAAACATAATATTCCATCTCCATAAAGATTGTTCTTAAACTTTGCAAAGTTTTCATGATCAGATGCATACCACCAGACATCACGTGAGAGTGGTTCTCATTATTATTATTATTATTATTATTATTATTATTTATTATTATTATTATTATTATTATTATTATTATTATTATTGTTATTATTATTATTATTATTATTATTATTAATAATAATAATAATAATAATAATAATAATATGAGGTATAAAATAAATAATCTGTACATAAGAATATAAAGTGTGATCATATGAGAAGCCCCAATGAGCCTCCTTGGACTAATGCACAGCTTTCATATTTATATATCTCTTTTTATATATTTATATATCTCTTTTCAAAACACCCAAAGGGTTTTACAGAGCATTATTCATTCACCTCATAGTCTGTGGTGGTGGTGATGGATGTAGTGGCCACAGCAGCTGAAGCGAAGCTGAAACAAGGCTGCCAACCTGTAGCAATGGCCCTATCACCCACCACTAATACTCCACACACAACAGTCCACTGAACAAGGTGAAGTGTCTTGCCTAATTTTCATTAGAGCCACTTGTGTCCCACTGTGGCACCTGATTTTCCCAGCAGTTTCCCATCCAAATATGAACCAGGACCATCCCTGCTGAGCTTCTGTGATCTGATGAGACACTGACAAGCAGGTATGGCCACAGCTGCATACAGATGGTATACCATACATACATACATACATACATACATACATACATACATACATACATACATACATACATACATTAAAAACACACACACACACACACACACACACACACACATATATATATATATATGTGTGTGTGTGTGTGTGTGTATATATATATATATATATATATATATATATATATATATATATATATATATATATATATACACGCACACATACATACACATACATAGATCCATGTTGATGCCACCTCTGCTGCTGCTGTTTTAATGGTGTTTTTCTGACTGTGTTCTGCCTGACCTTTGACCTCACCTGCCAGTCTAATGTCCCCCCCCACCCCCCCACACACACACACACCCCACCCACACATACATATATACTCATGCACACACACACCCACACACACCCACACACAGAGCAGGAGGCCATGGTCAGGCACAGAAGCCACTGGCCCCGGGGCTCTGTCCATATTCATGTCCGACTGCAAGCAGTGAGGTCTGAGCCTGACAAGAACCATCAGCGTCTGAGAGCTGTCAGTCACATGACCCACAGCTCTGTGTCACATGATCACCAAAGAGCCAATGAACATCAGTGAAGGCAGGCTGACAGTGTGTAGAGCACACTCACACTGGTGTTGGCTGTGATCTGCTTCTTCAGGAGCACAGTAGCTCTTCTCATGGGCTCATGAGGATCCATCCCGTTACAGCTGTTGTTTGTGATCAACTTTAGCAACAGCCAATCACAACAGTCTGATTGTGTGGGCACTGGTAGCCTAGTGACAGCTCATAAAACTTGAGCTGCTTCATTCATGAAACACAGTCACATAAACTGGAGTGAAACAGTTCAACTCTGAAGCTCAGAGAGGAGTGTCCAGCAGTGACCTGACCACTCTGAAATGATCCAAGTAATCCTAGTGAAGGTGTACTTCCTGTATTACCTCACAAGGTAGAACATAGTGTTTCTGTTTGAGAGAAGAACTCAGCCTAAATGTGCAGGTTTGTGTGTTAAACATGTGAATGAATCAAAACACACTCCAGGTGTGTGTGTGATGAGGAAACCACATTAGAACATTAGAGTTTAGAAAATAGCCTCATATGGGACCTAACCTATTTTAACCCATGCCTGAACTTTAAACTGTGTTTGTCGATCTAATAAGAACACATTTACATCATGGGGACCTAATTTCTGTCCCTGTAAGGGCAGTTCTCCATGTTGAGTGTACAGACTTTTGTCCCCATACTGTGTGTAATACCCATCCACACACTTGCACGCTCGGCTCTTAATAAATAATAACTTCTGAATGATTTTGCACATTACAGTAACACTTCCATTATTCATTCCTCTCCGTCACACGCAGCCTGTAGCACAACCCCCAAACACTCAGGTCTTGCTCAAGGACACAACAACAGTGTGAGTTGCAGAAAACAGGATGACAGAGTACATGTACGTGTACATGTACATGTACATGTACACCATAACCCTCCCTCCACTACGTTTCTTTCCTCTCCTCAAATGCCCCCGCCCCTCCTCCTCTTCTCCGCCCTTTCACCTCATCTCTCTTCCCATTCCTTCCCACGTACACTCCATCTCTCCCTCTTTCTCCTCTCTCCTCCACCCTCACATGACTTCTCCCTCTCCTCCTCTATCACCTTCTCTTACCTCCCTCACATGCCCCTCTCCTCCACACCTCTCCCTCTCTCCTCCTCTCATCCTCCTTCACATGCACTCTCTCCTACTCTCCTACTCTCCTTCTCTTCCCCAACACGTCCTCTCGCCTCATTCCCTGTCTTTTCCTCTCTTCTCCTCTCTCTACCTTCTCTCCTCTTCCCTCACCTGCCATCTCCGTCTCTCCTCTTCCCTCTCTCTCTCCCACTCTTTTCCATTCCCTCTCTCCTCTTCTCTCCCTCTCGTGTGTTCAGCTCTTTTTGTTTGTGGTGTCTTATTTCCATACAGCTCATAGTTGCGTAGAGGCGGTCTGTAAGGGGCGGGGCTTGTCTCTGTGGCGCCGGGGCTATGCAAATGTAAACCGGTGTAACCGTGTATCACCTTGATACACAGTACCACATGTATACTACTATCACATAGTACAAAGTACATCTGATACTACTAGATTCCTGACTTCATGAGAGGAGGGAGACAAATTGTTGACAGATTGTCCAGGTTTCGGTTCATCCCTGTAAACCCTGAGCACAAACCATCACCACACTCACACTGTCCACACAAACACACATCCTAATTTGAAAGTAGCTAAATTACAGTATCTTAAAGAGTGGGTATTATGGTGATGATCTTTTTTCCCCCCTACTATGTTATAATGTTGTCCTAAAAAAAAAATAAAAAAAACATGCCTGAAGATGCCATCCATGCATGTTTGAGTAATCTAGTAATCTCTCCTATTTGGAAGGTTAGTTAAAAATTTTAGGCAATGTCTCTAGGCACTCTGAAGGGGGAGTAACTTAGCATAGGGAGCAAAGAGGACTGAGGGCTTCAAAAATGAAACAGAAAAAACTCATAGAAGTGCAATACTCCCTATTGAAGTAAAAAGTGAAGAACATGGTTTACAAAAGACACGTGGAAGTGAAGACAGATGGAGACAGGAGCTGGAGTTGAGCGTGAGTTCATATGAGGTGAGTGAACTTGGTCACTGAACTGACACTGAAAAACAAATGCTTCTGCCTCAACACTTCATTTAACACCTGCATTCCCACCTTTCCACAGAGTTGACCTGTCACTTGTTCTGATGGCATCACTACAAGTTTAATGCTATACTTTGGGACATTGTGGGTAGTTTGAGCAGCAGTAGCTTAGTAGAGTGTTTGTCCACGGATCTGAAGGTTGGTGGTTCAAAACCCGCCCTCGACATAAAAACAAAACAAAACACATCATTGGTTGAGCAGTAAGATGACTGACCCACAGGTTGGTGTTGTACTGTGGACAGTTTCCATGGAGACAACCGGGTGTTGGACCCTCCACCACAAAAGTCACATAGTGCAGCTTTAAGTAATGGCTGTGTAGGCGCATTGACAGAACAGACAGAGGAACGCTCCTTGTGACTGGCCCTAAGTATGCTGTGTAATGTTTGAGTGACCCCGGGGCCACGGGGCCACGGGGCCACTGTTTGACACATGATGTGTGCCTCAGCACAGTCTGGCCTTGTTCTGTCAGAGACTTCATGGATAAGACACTCACATGTCTGTCCTGATCTCACACTATACCAGAGAGCATCTCTGTGGCCCAGCGGCCAGGGGCCTCCTGTAGCAGATGGAAATGTCCCTGATCCTGTACATGCAGACTGCCCCACAGGCCTGTCACCTGTCTGTCACCTGTCTGTCACCTGTCTGTCACCTGTCTGTCACCTGTCTGTCACCTGTCTGCCTCCTGGTTAATGCTTTACCTGGAATGTTCTACTTTGCAGCATTAAACTTATATCTTACATTTGGTCTATTTCAGGTGTGTGTTCATGCTTGAATGGGCTGAAAAACATGCGTTCTTATTGTGAGTGGGCTCGCCTCTCCACAAGCCTAAAGGTAGCCTGATGATGTCACGTGCTTCTCTGGAGTAGGAAACATTTAATACCAACATTCCAGGCAATGCAATAGTATCTCCATGAAGATGAGCAGGTGCAGACCCTGACAGCCTTCATGCAGCTTGAACAGAAGACCAGCAGTCACCTCACACAGATGTGATCTGAGTGCAGGTCTGCAGGTCTGAGGAGCAGGTGTGAGGAGCAGGTCTGAGGAGCAGGTCTGAGGAGCAGGTCTGAGGAGCAGGTGTGAGGAGCAGGTCTGAGGAGCAGGTCTGAGGAGCAGGTCTGCAGGTGAGGAGCAGGTCTGAGGAGCAGGTGTGAGGAGCAGGTCTGAAGAGCAGGTCTGAGGAGCAGGTCTGAGGAGCAGGTGTGAGGAGCAGGTCTGAGGAGCAGGTGTGAGGAGCAGGTCTGAAGAGCAGGTCTGAGGAGCAGGTCTGAGGAGCAGGTGTGAGGAGCAGGTCTGAGGAGCAGGTGTGAGGAGCAGGTCTGAGGAGCAGGTCTGAGGAGTAGGTCTGAGGAACTTGGACACTTGAAAGCTTTCAGTGTCAGGTAAATTTGACTGCTGCC